ATATATATATATATATATATATATATATATATATATATATATATGCATATACATATACATGTAAAAGTCAGACTGACCAGGCTGACTATCGGTTTCAATAAGTTAACGTAAAAGAAAAGTAAGATTTCAAAGTAAATTTGCACAATATAATTATAAGTTTAGCTTCAGCCCTTGGTAATGAGCTAAAGATTAGGGGATGTAAATACCATTTCATGCCTCGAATATACCTTCCAATCGCAATTACCAATAAAATAACTCTAAGTCCAACTTAAGAAAAACAAAAGAAATCAAAAACACTATGATGGTACAGTTAAATGTTTGTACCTATACCCCATCACATGGCACCTAGCTCTCCATCCCAATGAAGTCATAGACTGGCACATCTAGTTGGCCGGCTAGGGGGGATCATTTTTATGCCCCATTTCTCAGTAGGCTATCTCGCGCTGAGAGTATTTGGTAATACAACATGTGTCATCAAGTGTCAATACCACCTGAGACTCACCCAGTGTTGTATCCCAATATTCTGATGGAAAACACATCAGTGTAGAAAAACCATCATATCAATATCAACAGGGTCTCCGGCCTCTGTCGTATACAATTGTAATTACAAATATGCAAAATAGATTATTTGTTTGTTTGTTTTCTGTAAATTCAATATATCTATAATTAGATTATTTGTTTATTATACAGATACAGTTATCTACAATTGTGTTTCAACGTATACCAGGTTTCATAACCGTAATAGCGTTTAGACGTTAGTACGTTTATAATATACGTTAACATCTGCTTCTACTCTAGGAACCCGCTGATTTTACACAGCCCCCCCCCCCCCGCCCTCAGCTTGAAAATAACAATGTTGGCTTATATGTGTTTTGAAGCACACAGACTCAAAAAGCTCACATGGATTGTACAAGCGTAAAGAAGAAACGGGTTTCGATCACATAAAATGGCCTCAATGCTCATATTATACTCTCTTAGACAAAGTATACTTAGACTTTATAAGTTACTCGGTTACTCTATTACGTTTGGGTTTAGGTCCTTGAGGTCCCCGATGGTGGATGGGACGTTTTTTAGTGCCTTTAGGGGGTAAATGCATTCCATGTTCTTTGAAACTTGGAATGAATGATGTCGGGGGATAAACCTTGACTTCTTCCGGACGATTGTTTGTAGGTAAGATCGCGTCCACGTCTGCGTCTACTTTGTTCTTATGTAGACGCTTACGAAACACTTTATTAAAAGCTTCCAATACATCTGGATCATCGAATGCAAAATTGTACGCCATCTGCAAACTCCGTAGTGTAGTAAACTTCCCCAGAATTTTCTTAAACTCATAAGACATAAGAGGTGTAGTAGCTTCACGTGTGCGACGAAGGATGATTTCAGTCGTTGGAATTCGATGTGATCCGATATTAAGAGCACTTGACCAGTCAACATTGTTAACTTTGTAAGTTCCGCTCTTCTTATCGGCTACTGAAATTTTGAATGGTCCAATGTATTTAGCCGTAAGCACAGTTGTATCGGAGTTGCGAGCCATAATGTTGACAATTCGCCTACCTCAAACTCGACTATCTTTTTTGAATCATTCCATCGCTTTTGTCTCTTCATGAGTGTGATGTCCTTCCTCTCTCTCAAACAAGGAAAGACGACGTCTCTGGTATGACGCATCTTCTCTAACCTTGGTAACACATAATCTTCTTGAGAATCCATGTTGAAAGGTAATTGTAATCCACTATAACGGCCCTTGAAATAGTGGGCGGGTGTTGTACCAGTGACTGAATCCGATGTCTCGTTCATTTGTGTCTGTACCCAGTTAATTGAGTATGGCCACAAGTCAGCATCGTCTAGCAACGCTCCACGCATGAACTTCTTCATCTTTCTGTGTCGCACCTCATTCGCACCTTGTGTCTGAGGCTTATAAGGTACACCCATATTGTGGCATGATCCTGCAACGAGTAACAGCGTCGTCATAACGTCTCCTGTAAACTCACTACCGTTGTCGGTACATACTATAGCTGGCAAGCCGAAATCTGCGAAACGCTTATAAATGCACTCAGCCACCGTTTGTGTTGATTTGTCTTTCAAAGGATATAATATATTATATCTTGAAGCGACATCAAAAACATGGCAGACATACTTATCTTTCGTGTGTTCGGACGTGGGTAGCTCAACCAAATCAATGACAACCAGGCGCCATGGCTCGTCTTCTGATACACTCCGCAATGGGGCATATCCATAGCGCTTGATCCGGTTAACTTCGCAATCGTTACATTCGTGATACACCTGATA